CCCAGAATCTTGACACCAGGGTTGCGCCATGACGAAGGTTACATATGCCAAGACATGAGGAGTTGGATGTGATGTGTGGATGATGGGATATTGATAGCAGCTTTGAAGCACTGAATCCATTTTCTGCAGGCCCTCTGCGGCTGTTGGTCCAGGTCCTTAAATAATGCCACAATGTATTTAGGGCTACATGGTAACAATCGTAGTTGATGCTGTCAGTCACCTGGACCACAGGTTATCGAAGACTCTGGGTTTCCATGTGAGCATGGCACGCTGGCACGAAGTTGGCACGCTGAACGGAGCCGCAGGTCCTCACTGCAGAGTGGACGGTCCCCATCTTCTGTGTGAGCAGAGCCAAGGCGGGCAGTGTGGGCTTCAGGTGCAGGAGAGCGAGACCTCCACGTTCTCACTCAGAAGCATCCAGGATAGAAGGGACCTGCTGATCCTGACATTTGGGCTTAACCTTGAGACATCTTGGCTAAAGGAACACTGTGTTCCTTTTTTTTAAGTCCAGTTTAAGGAGATGTGTCTGGGTGCTTGTTGCAGACGGAATGCTTGTGTGTCCCCACCCCTAGTTTACATGTTGAAGCCCTAACCTGCACTGTAGCTGCATCTGGAGATGGGGCCGTAAGGTGAAATGAGGTCATAAGGGTGGGGCCCTGACCCCATGAGACTGGGGTCCTTTTATAAAGGAAGACACTTCAGAACTCCCCCTCTTCCCACGCTTTGCGAGCACATGGTGAGATGGCAGCCATCTGCAAGCTGAGAAGAGAGTCCTCGCCGGGAAACAAACCCTGTCGGAACCTTGATCTTAAACTTTCCAGCTCTGGAGCTGCGAGAACCCCACGTCTGCTGTCTAAGCCACCCGGCCTGAGGTATTTTGTTATGGCAGCCCTAGCAGACTGAGGTGCCAAGTGGACAGGGGTGGACTCCGGCGGCCAGCTTCACGTGTCAACTTGGCTGGGTCAGCACCCCCCATTATGCAAACACTCATCGAGGTGTTGCTGTGTCGTATTTGATAGATGTGATTCAAGTCCACAGTCAGCGGACTTTTAGTGAGAAAGATTAGCCTAGTAACTACTAGTCCATCTGGGTGGGCCCGCTGCAGTCCTTTGAAAGGTTTAAAAAGCGGAGTTGAGACGTCCCAGATGGAGAACTTCTGCCTATGGGTGGCAGCTTTAGCTCTTGTCTGAGTTCCAGCTGCCCTTGCTGACCGGCTGGCTGCCCTACGGATTAAGAGTTGGCCAGCCCGCCCGCCTGCCCGCACAATCCTGTAAACTCCTTCCTTCTAAAAGTCCCTGCTGGCTGTTTTCCGGTCCATCCCTCTTTGATACAGGCTCCGCCCTTTCCCCTATGATAGCCCCTTTTTATCC